TATGTTGGGAATGCTCAATTTCTAATTCACCCCACCCCCTTGATTGGCAAATTGGAGACACACCAGTGCCATGAAACTGGAAGTATAAGTGACAAGCGTTGTCAGCGAATTCATTTGCAAAATTTCCATTGCCATGTTACGATAGCGTTATATAGTGTGTTCCACAAAGTTTTAAACGTGACAACTATTCTTGCGTTCATAAAATTGGTAGTTAACTTTGAGCTACGCAACGCCTATGTCACCACATTCTATTTGCGCTGAAAACTTTTAAGAACAAAACCTTGGTAAGTAGAATGACATTTATTTTTGCTTTCTTATTAATTAACTGCATGTATCTTACAATTTTATTTATTTATTTCAAATGACCGGCGTTTTGTTAATTATCATTGGCCCTCTAGCTGACTTCGGGCTTAACAGAGGGCTTCGAGAGGAGAGAGAAATGTGTGATTCACAAATGTAAGAGAGACTGAGAGGCAGCCACATAGGTATAGTCGGGTCATAGTGTCTACAAGTCAGAAATCAAATTGTCGGTTGTTAGACTTGTTTGTCATATGGGAATTCGTTGCCCAGGTTTCACCACGCCAGAATCTTAATAAAAGACATGGCGTCTCTCGCCGCTCTTCCTCTGACCCAACATGGTTCTAACCATCTGTCTGGTATGCATTTTATGTCAATGGACAGCATTCACACTGTGAAAATATCCTGCATACATCTACTCCAGCTTGTCGTATGCCAAGAGACAGATAATGCATTTTATTTTGAAGTGTACTTATCTAAACTTTTATACCTCCAAATTCCATGCATAGCGAACCAAACACGTCGCTCTAATTAATGTCGGCTTATAACTTAAACAAACTTTAATTCACACTCTTCTTAATTTCCTTCAGTAAAGTGCTAGTGCTAAATCACAAGCGCTCAATATGTATTTAAATGCAATCAAGCGAGAAGGCCTTTATTTTAGCATTATTTGAAGCATTCTAGGCAATTTTATAGTGCCAGAGGAAGACACACTAGAGTACGCCACATAGATTTGTCAATTATTACCGCTACATGTATCTGTGAGACACATCATCAATGACCAAATGGAAATCCTGCTATAGAACCTTACTCAGAAATATTTGGCTATTAAAGTTCAAACGAATTATGCAAGAGTTATCTGATAACTAATCGCTTTGCCAACACTTCACTTCGCTATTAATATACGTATCGAATAAACGTATTCCTTGCTACACGTCTGTTTCCCCTATAGCTGGGCTATAGCTTAGCTTGTTCAGGGAGTCTAGCTAGATGTTGGAGAATCTGCCATAGAGATTTCTGCTACATATCAAGATTCGCGAAAGTTGGTCCATCCGAATACGATGTAGAATAGAATTACACTGCCTGTGCACTTTTCCTGTCTAAGTATTGAGTTAGGGGATCATCGGGGCCAGTTTGGTGCTCCAAGTAGTGCCTACTAGTTGAGGGTACTCAGCAGAGATTTATGGATGATTCAATTATAAAGTCGAAACATTTCTTCCTTAATCAGATCACTTGAGAATCTCTGACTAATTACAGTGACAATTGCACCCTATCCCTAGTCCCACTAAACCGATGGGTAGGTGCTTCATCAGGATAGCACTCGACTTTGCCTCACTTGAGCTACCACCAGGAAACTTACACTTGGACATGAAATTCAATCATATTGATCATATTAAGGTGATAATTAACACATGACCATTTTTGATACTATTGAATGGCACTTACCTCGACATCAACCCACGTAATCTCATGTATTCATGAACACATTATTGCTCACGGATGATAATATTAAAGTCCACCTACGCAGACAGAATTTTAGTAGTAAATTAATCGTGATTTGTGCTAAACCACAACTGTCCAGCTCAAAAGTAGGAACTTGGTGTACTTAAGAAGTTCACTT